AGGCAGTCCTTCAACTAAATTAATTATTATTCCTTCAGATTCAAGACTTTAAAGTTCATGATCAGCATGTAAGGCTATGCAGCAATATGATTTGCCACATCTAATGGAACAGGTAGAAGTATTGGGGGAGAGGCAGTCCCTCAGAGTTCAATTCTATGTCACGAAGGGGCTTTAAAAGTTAAAACCAGCACCTTGAATTGAACCTGGAATGCAATTTGCAGAGCAGAGGTGGGGCATGTGGCATTCTGGAACCACACATACTGTAGCTGTCAGTACAGTTGTATTCTACATCTTAAGCTTCTGAATACTCTTCAAGGACAACTCCTTGTAGACCACATTACAGTAATCCAATGTGTAGGTAAGTAGGGTATGAATGATGTGAGTAGAACCACCTGATCCAGAAACATGTGCAACTGGTACACAACATGAAGGATCCAGGGCCCTTCTAACCACAACTGCGACTGCTCCTTGAGCAGGAGTCATAATTCAGGAGAACCCCCCGATTGTGCACTGGGTATGTCTGGGGCAGTGCAACCCCATCTCGCATCAAAGATGGTGTAGTCCTCAGAACTAGAAGATCCCAAAACCCAAAGCAACTCAGACTTGCCAGGGTTCATCTGAAGCCTGTTGTTCCCCATCCAGGCTCTCACTGCCTGCAGGCATCATGGCATCACTTAATTTTCCTGGGGCAAAGATATATAATTGGGTATTATCAGCACACTGATGATACCTCAAACCCTGGCAATGGATGAAATCACCCAACAGGTTCATGTAGTTATTAAACAGGAGAGGAGATAGCACCAAAACTGCAGCACCCCACACAGTAGGGGCCAAGTGCAGCACTTCTCTTCCTCAATCAACACCAACTAGAATTGTCCCTGGAGAAAGGGTGAGAATCAGTAGAACATCATTCCACCTATCCTCAATCCTCTGAGCCAATCCAGAGGGATACCATGGCTGATGCAGAGAGGTCAAGTAGGGCATGGATGACCCTCATTCTGCCCTTGCTCGAGGTCGTAGGAAAAATGCCAGCAATGCTGCTTCCATCCCATAGCCAGGCCTGAATTCCAACTGAAAGGGATCCAAATAATCTGCTTTTTCCAACATTCTCCATCCTCCCTTTTGGGCAGGGGTGAAATCCAGCAGGTTCTGACGGGTTCTGGAGAACCAGTAGCAGAAATTTTGAGCAGTTCAGAGAACCGGCAAATACCACCTCTGGCTGGCCCCAGAGTGGGGTGGGAATGGGGGATTTTGCAGTATCCTTTCCCTGGAATGGGGAGGGAATGGGGATTTTGCAGTATCCTTCCCCTGGAGTGGGGTGGGAATGAAGATTTTGCAATATCCTTCCCCCTGGAGTGGGGAGGGAATGGGGATTTTGCAGTATCCTTCCCCTGCCACGCCCACCAAGGCACGCCCACCAAGGCACGCCCACAGAACTGGTAGTAAAAAAAATTGGATTGCACCACTGCTTTTGGAGGGACATGATTGAGAAGGTGGTTGCTTCCAGCTTGCATATGAATATGGAATTATCTTTCAAGGTAACATCAAGAGGAAGGAAATAAATAAGCACCTGACCTGCTGGTGTTACAAAGGAATGCTGGTGCTAGCAACTAGGATTCCAGTTTGGACCTTATATCTGGCAGCCAAATGACAAGTATGGAAGACATGAGCGGATATAGCTGACCCATATTCAGAACTGTGCAATGGTGTTTAGCACATGTGTAATTACAATAGTGATCTCCACAGCGACCAATGTTGCCAAAGGCTGAGTGGGAAATCTTGGCATCAAGTAACCAAGAACTACTGATCTGACCCTCTGGCTGGAAGTACTCAGAAGTAGCTGGGGGGGAGGGGGGATGCAATTGCTACTGGCCAACACATAATAAAAACAGATGGCCCCATGGCAGCAGATGCCAAAGATAGAATAGGGTAGGCAAAATTGGACCCCTCACAAAGTGTGACCTATGTAATTTCAAAGAGCTATGAGGATTGCTGCTGTGTAATTCTAGTCCCTAGGACATGAACTGTTCTAACTAGCAGTTGTAGTCTTCGCACATAAAATAATAAAACAGTATAAGCAATAGAAAATACAGCCAAAACCCCTTTTCGGCAGAAGCAGCAAAAATCTGTAATATACCTAACAATGACTGAACTAGGAATAAGCAGTTAAGTCAGCTCTTTCCCTGTTTAATATTATCTTCTGGGTAGCATAATGTTTATAAGCATTTATTTAGTACTCTTTTAAACCTACAAAATGGCAGTGGAGGGTAGTGCCCTGCAACTGGAGAGGATGGAGGTGCCCCACAGTCATTGTGGCCAGTAAGAGCTGAGCAGATCCCAATCCCTGGCCATCTTATTAATCACGTATTCAAGGAAGCCTCCAAGATGGGTATCAACAGCCAAAATTGTGTAGGGAGAATGGGAGTACAGAGTTTAAAGTCTTTCAGGAGTGAGGTGTGTTTGTGTGTGAGGGGGGGGAGTGGAGTGTGGGGAGTGGGGAGTGGGAAGTAGGGAGAGGAGAGGAGAGGAGAGGAGAAGGGAAGGGAAGGGAAGGGAAGGGAAGGGGAGGGGAGGGGAGGGGAGAGGAGAGGAGAGGAGAGGAGAGGAGAGGAGAGGAGAAGAGAAGAGAAGAGAAGAGAAGAGAAGAGAAGAGAAGAGAAGAGAATTCTTGGTATGGCTAGGGGGATCTGATGTTGAACCTTTTATGGGCTCAAAAAGCTACAGGATCCATATATATCAATTTTTCTTTCCACAATACTGAATCTTTCAAGCTTTAGGATGAGAACATATTTCGTTCTAGCCCTTATGAGAGAACACTGTAAATTACAAAGGAGAATATATTCTCAAAAACAGCGGGCACTGTCCAACTGTAACACTCCTACATGCTTCCAAATCACTACAGTGATGTTACACCGAGGAACCACTCAGTTGATTATTTCTGCAAATAGTTTTTACCTACAAAGAAAGCGGAAATGGAAGTTTTCTGTATTCCATGTAAATAAAAAAGAATGATCAGAAATACTTATTTCAGCAACACCAACAAGCTTACAACTATATCAAGAGATATAGTTAAAGAGATATTTAAATCATCTCTCATGAAACTAATCTCTGTCCTGTCTCTATTGAGCCATACAAGTGCCATATTTGTTTGTTCACTACAAATGGGTTTTCGATGGTTTTCTTTTAAATGCCTTAATCTGAGATTGTTTCTCTAAATACTATTGAGTTTAGGACTCTTTTCTCAGAAGAATGCTTTCCCAGAAAAATATGCAGATAATGACGTCAATCCTTGGTGAGCTTTTTTAGAAAAATTCATTTAAAAACATCCTTTTCCTGGAGCAAAGTAACCCTGAAATCTGTACCCATTATTTGTTCCACATAACATATGCTTTTACATCTTGGCTTCCTTGTTGCTAATCCCATCTATTCCTAATTACCATAAACAAGAAATAATTTTTGTTTCATCTCACACTCGAAGCCAACTGGGATCTCCCCTCTCTTCTGAAAGCTCCCCCTCTCCTTGATCTTACTCCAAGAGAGCTATATCCAAGAAAACTAAAACATTTATTATTTTGCTTGACTGCCCAAGTATTCCAAATCCATCTCAACTGATTACTGATCAGATCAGGGAAAGAGTATTATAACAGTGAGTGTGATATTAAACTGTTTGAGCTGTGTTACCCAGCCCATAATATGCCAGTCCTTGAGGGCACATCCCATGTCTCATGTTGACCACACTGTAAAATAACAGAGCCATAAATCAAGGACTGTGAGAACAAGGGCTCCCTGTGCCTCTGGCTAGCTTTTGTGCAAAGGGATACACTAGTCTACATGTTGTGACTGGAAGCAGTGTTAAAATTATTTTAAAATCTAAAATTTTAGACACACAATTTACTCTTTTAGATAGTATGCAGGCATCTTTTTAAATTGGCATATGACTATTTTAATGGTCAATCTGCATAGAGGTTTGGCAAGGACAGCAGGCTGGGTACTGTCATTGTTTCATCTTCTCTTGGGCCCTGCATCCTAACACATATGCTTCCTGTGAAATTTTAAAAATGCCCATGTGTCAGGTTCTACAAAAGCAGGATATTATGCTAGCGAAAGTGCCCCTGTTAACATGGCAATAACTCTTTAGCCAGAAAGCCGCCTTTATGCTTGGACTCCCATATCCAATGATCCCCAACGGGCAAGGCCTTGGAGAAGCGGGTTCAAGCCAGTGGTGAAATCCAATTTTTTTTACTACCAGTTCTGTGGGCGTGGCTTGGTGGGTGTGGTGTGGCTTGGTGGGTATGGCAGGGGAAGGATACTGCAAAATCTCCATTCCCTCCTCACTCCTGAGGGAAGGATATTGCAAAATCTCCATTCCCACCCCACTCTGGGGCCAGCCAGAGGTGGTATTTGTCGGTTCTCCAAACTACTCAAAATTTCTGCTACCTGTTCTCCAGAACTGGTCAGAACCTGCTGAAACCCACCTCTGCTTTCTGAGAAGGAGAAAGTGTCTCTCGCTTTAGCTCTGCATCCCTGTTGGATAGCTCCCAAACTACAGGTATAGATATGAGCCCAAAATTTATGTTGCTAAGCGAGACATTTGTTAAGTGAGTTTTGCCCCATTTTACGACTTTGCTTGCCCCATGCATTAAGTGAATCACTGCAGTTGCTAAATTAATAACACAGTTGTTAAGCGACTCTGGCTTCCCCACTGACTTTGCTTGTCAGAAGGTCACCAAAAGATGATCACACAACCCCAGGACACTGCAACCCCCATAAATATGAACCGGTTGCCAAGCGTCTGAATTTTGATCCCATGACCACCACGAGAATCCAGCAGTGGTTGTAAAGTGTGAAAAAAATGGTCATCGGTCACTTTTTTTTCCTGTGCCCTTGTAACTTTGAACAGTCACTAAATGAACCGTTGTAAATCGAGGACGACCTGTATCCCCCTCCCGACTGACCTTTCTCTGCCTTGAAACTAACTATTCAGCAGCGCCCAGAGAAACTGCTTTTCTCTTCGCTCGTTGATTTCTTGGGCCAGACCCAAATCCAGCCGAGGTTTCCTCGGAGGCTTTTCCGTCTCCTCTTCTGCGTCTTTGTCTCAGCTCGGAGGCCAAGCGACGCGCGTAATTAATTGCCTCGAGGCCGAGTGGCCTTTATGCGCGGGAGGAACTGGAGACCCCCGGAGGCAGGGACGACGCGCTTGGTCCGTCCTCCCCCTGGGTTCCAGAGAGAAAGTCACCATCCGGCAACCTCCCCCCGATTTGGAAAGGAAGAAAAGCCACCGCCGCCTCTTCTCCCTCCCTCTTTCTGGCGAGCAACAAAGCGAACATTTGTCGACGGTGCCTGGACGGGGTTGCGAGAGGGAGCCTCTCTCCGGCGGCGTGGCCCTTCACATCTTCAGAAGCGGCTTGAGAGCGGCGGCGGCGGCGGCACCACCAGCACTCCGTACGGGATCCCCACCTCCCCACCCCCGGGATGGCTGGAGGTGATTCGGGAGCCGCGCAAAGACTGAGCTGCAGGCGCCTTCGGCATCAAAAAGAGGGCGCTGGGCTGCTGCAGCGCTAAGTCCGCTTCCAGTCTGGATCCGGGAGAAGAAGAGCGAAAGGACCGGGCGCCTCCCAGCCAAAAAGTCGCACATGGCTCAGGCGGAGCGCGGTTCTGGCGGGGTGAGTTCGTCGCTGTTGCTGCCTCCCGGCATGTGCGCGCTACGCTGCGTCCGGAGTCCTTGGCCGGGGCGCAGCGGCTGAAGGCACCTGCCGTGCCTTAGAGGTAAGTGGCATTCGCTGTGAAAGAAACGGGCGCCCGCGAAACTCAGTTGTAGCCAGACGCTCGGCTGAAGTTCCTTCTCGAGAAATCCGGGCCATTTTTTTTTTTTTTTTTGCCCTTTAATTCACTAGTGTCCAAGCAGTGTCTCCTGTTGTCACCTTCCGCTAACCGGCAGGATTCTTGCTAAAGAAGAGTGCCCTTGAGCGTGTGCAGAGTGTTTGTCGGTAGTCCTGATAGGGACTGGCAAGGAGAGGCCCCTTATGTAATGGCAGGAGAGCAGGGAATTGGAGCAGCATTAGCAGGAAAAGCTGTGCCCTGACTGAGTTGCAGTGTTTTACTCCAGGATTTATTCTGAATAATAAAGAAGATTAGGATATTATTCCCATAAGAATCCAAATGTTAATAAAACAAGGTAAAACACTCCAGGAAATAAGCAATTCCTATGTGTCCCAGTATACATGCAGGGTTATTAATTTAAATATTCCAAATCATATTGAGCAGCTTTTCCAGGACGGGCCGTTTTGTCTATGTTTAGGTTTGATTTTAGAAAGTAAGTATTTTGTATTCAAACATATGACCTCCAAAACACCTGCAGGTTGTTGCTGTGGCCAGCAGGAGTTTGGGTGAGAGCTCCGGGAAACTTTTCCAGCATAGCTAAGGAGGATGTGGGTAGGAAGTGTAGGCCTAGCTATCAAGTCAGGCATCACGGAGATTGAGACTGAGAGAATGTGAACGTGGGGGTGAACTCCAGTCAGCGCAGACCTATTCAGCAGAAGATTTATTGTGCAAAAGAAAAGACAGGCTGTCATGTTATAGATCCAGAAACTGACAAATGATGTTCTGGAATCCTTTGGCTCTCCACTTCTGTAAACATAGCAGCCAGTTCTGGGTTTTAACTGGTCACAAAGATGCAGTAACTGATTGCCAGGTGGGAAAAACAGGATTCTAAATGTTTTTATTTGCACAACACTTTTTTTCCTTGCTGTTAAATTAACCTGTTTTCTCTGTTCAAATAATGTGGATTAGATACAGATACATACATATGCAAACACAAATTCAGAGTTTCAAAGAATATGTTTCACATATTGTGCAAATTCTAAGTTCTGGACCAGAATAAATGGATCCAGGTTCCTATCTCCCTCAGCCATACTGCTGGAAATCCTTGTGCAGGATTTTTCAGCGTAATATAACCAGCAAGGCTGTTGTGAAAGATAAGCCATTTCTTGAGCTTTTAGGGAAAGGTAGGATATAAATATAAAATGACAGTTGCTAAGTTTCAGGCAGTCTTATTCAAATGTCACTGAAAGCATCTGTAGGACTCAATTTTCCACAGGGGTAGATTATTTGGAAAGAAGGCATTCTTCGTCAATGACCCCTACATGTCAAAATCAGAATTGATGCAGAGAAAATCTGATGCTAATTAGCTATGAGGCATAGCACATAAAATGCCTTTTTCAAGACAGAGTTTGGAGAAGCAATGCAACAAATGGAATTTTAATGTAGCCATAGAAGGTAGAAGTTCAGGTCTTAACTCAACCATGACCTTCACTGTACAGCGTTCCCCACTCTGGTGTCCTCCAGGAGGACATGGAAATGCAGCTCCACAAATTACCCTCCAGAGAATTGATGGTCATGCTGCCTAGGAATCTTGGAAGTCACAGGTGCCAAACTGAGCCCTGCAATTAAGGCAAGTGAAGACAATCTGTTGATCCAGCTATTATATTAATCTAAATGAAAAAGAGACAGCATGATTTTTGGCTGGAGCAAAGTCCCCAAGGACATCACCTTTGTTGTTTCCAGGCTCTTTGCTTCCTCAATGTTTTTAGATCACATTAAAGAGAGAGTCAGTTGGTGTAGTGGTTAAGGCATCAACTAAAAACCAGGAGGCTAGGAGACCATGAGTTCTATTCCCACCAGCTGGGTAATCTTGGGCCAGTCATAATTTTTTATCCCTGGGAAGGAAGCAATGCCAAATCACTTCTAAAATTTTGCCAGAAAAATTACAGGAACTTGTCCAGACAGTTTCCAGGAGGCAACACTGATTTGAAGCACCACGTGTATATACATATATAAATACATAGATTTTTAAAAAACCATAGGCCCTAGCATCTTCCTCATTGACTGGAAATATTTGTCTCTATCACTTCCCTTTTGCAAGAAAGCTAGACTCCTACGAATAAGGTGTCCACTTAAGTTTTAAAGGCTAGTTCGCTGAATTTTACCTTCACATAAAGCCTCTACTACTTTGTCACAAGTTCAAGATTTTGCTCCAAAAATCTACAGAAGTGTAAGCACCTTATAGTTTTAAAAAAATTCAGCAGGATTAGCAAGGCAAAACTCTACATTCATCATACTCTAAAATTGTATGCCATAAAGTTATTTACTTCCTCCACTCCATTCTTCTTACTTTTTACATAAATCTAATCAAGGACTGAAAGCAGTAAATAATATACAGAACATTAATACTTAATGGATGTCTATTTTTATGCTATTTTTAGTTTATTCATTTACTTAGCTATATGGCTACAAATATTTTGCTGTCTTTTTTTTTTCCTTTTTGTACTGGCAACTGACCATGATAACATTCCGTTCTATTCCATTCTGTTGTCTGTCAAATAAATCCCATAAACATTCTTTGAATAAAAAACCCAGTGAATTGCTGCAGCCCAGGGTTATTTTTGGAAGTGCCCAAGAGGGAAACCCCAAAGATAAGATGTTAATCCAAAGAATCCAAAGAAGCTCGAAGAAGTGGTAGGTAGCCATTTTACCACCTCATCTTCTGATGAAAGGATTTTCAGTGACTGACTATATATTTATGATTACCATAGTAGCCATTTTGTGAGAGTGCTTACAGCTGACTCTCAAAATTCCATGTGAACCTTTATCTTCTTTTGACCTAGATCAATCTTTGCCAGTTTGGTTCTTTCTGGATCTGTGAGGCTGCAGAGTCCTTTACCCACAGCCATCACACAAACACGTGTGATGGAATTTGCCATTCAAAAAGGGGAAGCCCAGGGCTAGAGAAAACCAACCTCACGCATCTATCCTCATGTGGGTACTCTTCTACATCCACCCACACTATTTTTCTAAACGGTCTATGTAGCAGAAAGTCTTTTTGTACATTCAACAGAGACCACTCCAGAGAAAAATGTAAACAGATTTCATATAGATTCAGGTATGAGTTCCCATGCTCCGTTTTTGTGCTTAAACAGAAGCAGGAGAACATCTTGTACAGTTTGACTTTTTGGAAGAATGAAGGTTGCTATGCTAATGGTGGTAGAGCATCCATGGAGATTATAAGGTACCATCTAGAGAATATTAATACCATATAGATGTCAGAATGGTGAGAAGTGTTGCAAGTTGAGAGTATAGTTTATGTGAGAGGGAAGAAGTTGAATGGATGGTGAGTGCTTTTTAATCTATACCTTTTATACAAATATTTTATCTGTGCTGTGAACGTTAGGATGACGAAAGATGGAAGCAAAGGGAGGGTTTTTTTGTATCTCCTTATTCTCATTTATTTATCCATTGATTTTATTGCAATTTATTTTGTTTGATTGTTAGAGACGCTTAGAATCAGACAGCATACAAGCTTCATAAATGATAATGATGATGATGGTGATGATGATGATGATGATGATGATGATGATGATGATGATGATGATGATGATACAGCCCAGATGTGGTATGCACAACCTTTTCTAACTTAGTTGCTTTATTTTCTGTTCTAAAGCAGAAACTAGAACGCATCCTATTCACATTCTTTTTTCAGTCGTGGAGTAAAAGAAACTGAAGGGGATCCAAATCCTTCCAACCCCAAACATTTTTATCAAATGATGGATTCTGTGGTTACTTGTTTGAAAATCCTAAACGATTTGTCAGCAGTTGCGCCAACGCTTTGTAGCTGAGCAGTAGCCATATTAGCCTTTAAGACTACTTATTTGCAATAGCTGGTATATTTAATACAATCTAAATCTTTTGTGGGCAATAATTTATTTTATTGGACATGAAGATTATTACCTCAAAAGAGAAGTATTTCCGTCTATTTATGGTGGTGGAGAAAAGTTCTAGAGGTTTTAAACCTCTGGTGTAGTTGTAAAAGATGCAAAAAAATATCTGGAGCACCAGATGGTGTCTGATTGCAGCCTAATCTGTCCTTGAGAATGAAATCGAAATGCAAGGAAGAAATTTTCCATCTGTTTTGTCCTCCTGGTCTTCTTTAACCAGATGTAAAAAGAGGTAGCCCTTGGATCACTTGTACTTTACTAGTACCATCTTGTAGCTGCAGAGTAGGCATTAGCAAAAACATTTGCATTTTCGAGGATTAGAGGACCTGGGGCAAAAAAATTACTCTTTTAAGCCTGGATGGCATCTGTAATTAGGTCCTAAAGTCCCTGACCCTCTCTTGAAAATAGTGTAACCCTCAGTGTGCAGTACAAAGCCTGCTGTGACCTTGATATCATAGTGACAGAATAGACGGACAGAATAACAAAGCTGGAAGGGACCTTGTAAGTCATCTAGTCCAACCCCCCACCCAGGAAGGAGACCCTACACCATTTCTGACAGATGGTAGCCCAGTCTCTTCTTCAAAGCTTCCAGTGATGAAGCTCCCACAACTTCTGAAGGCAAGCTGTTCAATTGGTTGATTGTTCTCGCTGTCAGAAAATTTCTCCCTATGTATTTCTAGGCTGAATCTCTCTTTGATCAGTTTCCATCCATTATTCCTTGTCTGGCCTTCAGGTTTTGGAAAATAGGTTGTCCCCCTCCTCTCTGAGATAGCCCCTCAAATATTGGAACACTGCTATCATATCTCCCCTGGTCCTTCTCTTCGCTAGACTAGCCATGCCCACAACATTATCTTCATCCTCATGGTTTCACAAACAAAACAGCCAGTTCTTATTTGACCTGTAATCATCTCCTCAATAGTTCACTGTAATGTATTCCATGTGGAACTGTTCTTGACGACTGTTCTGAGGCCTCAATTTGCCCAGAATGCGGCTATCATTGCTTTGAGCAGAACCACTTGGTTAAATCAAATTATTGTGATTGGTAACCAGAGTCAGGGATGTAATTCCGGGCTCAATTTATAGAGCTGGATTTGACCTTTAAAAATCTAAGCAGCCTGTGGATCAGAATTTCAATCATCTCCCATACTGTGAGCCCTTTGAAAACTTTTCTGGATGAAAAACGTTTCTTTGCACTCTCCAGTTGTTAAAAGTACAACAAAGAAAGGGACACAAAAGACATTTTAAAAAGTGAGGTACAGGTCTAGGAAATGGAAATCCTCTGTAAATGCCCCCCCACAGACTTTTTAGATAGCTAGCTTACAGATGTCAGTAAGATCTGTCTCATCATTCAGTGGTAATATGCCATTGCTTTATTTTGCTTTTACTTACTTTTAAAATATTATCTCCTACTACTAATCTAGAATGCCTTTTTAAAAATGATAAGCAAATCAATAACCTATGCTCTGTGCTGTCTTGCTTTCTTGTTGGTCATTTGAACTTTGAAACAAAACGTGTAAAAGAGTCAACTTTTGGAGTTGTTGAAATATTTTATTTGTTTTATGTACACACACAGTATGCATTAAGAATTTCAGAATAAACCTTAAACACAGAAATGGTAGATCAGAAAATTGATAATTATTGGGCTCCAGGTGGTTTTTCCTATCCTCTATTCTGTCTCTCTTTTTCTCAGAAGAAAGAAAGATTAGTCAGTTCGTTGAGCCTTTTCCTGAAATGACTGGCTTTTTTTCCAAGTTGAAGCATCTCTTTCAATTAGCCTTCATTTCCAAACTCAAAGCTTACAGGACAGGTAGACCTCAATTTACGAGTGGTCACTTAGCGATTCTTCAAAGTTACAACATACTCCTCTCCCCAAAGCTACTTAAGTTCCAATGTCACCCCTCCCCCATAGTCATGTGACCGCATTTTGGGTGCTTGACAACGGGTCATATTTGCAGCTGTTTACAGTGCCCCTCAGTCATGTGATTGTGATTTATGATGGTTTTGCCAGAAACTGGTGTTTATTTCTGATATCTGGCAAAGGCCGGCCCATTGCAAACAATGGGCTTGCTTAACAGCCATAGCATTCACTTAATGACCATTGTCATTACTGTATTCACTTAACCACCACTGCCACAAAAAAAGGTTGCAAAATTGAGTTGGTCATGTGATGACCCACTTAATGACCATCAAGACTTACGACTGTAATTGCTAGGCTCACATACACACACACACACAAAACTTTCATTGTAAATGAAATGGAAATAAATTAATTTAGGCCAATTTTCCAACTGTTCTACATTTACTTGTTATTTGGAGTATTGCGAAGAAGTGTAAGGTGGAGCAAATAGCTTAGGATCCAGTCAGTTCCATGCCTTTTGGGGGAACTTTACAAGATTAGATACCCACTCTTGCAAATAATAAAGAGTTGTAGAAGCCATCATGAAATAGAATTAAAAACTGGATTTTCTTCTACAAGTTTGCAGAGTGATATGCTCCCTGTCTTTGGCCCAAGGATGTTTTTCTGAGAAATGATAAGATAGTTCCATGAGCAAATACAATCACATGTCATTTTCATTCCATCCTTTCTCAGCCCTCATCATCTTTTTCCTTTCTGCATCTGAAACAACTCTGCCAATTCAGGCCCTGGAGATCCGGCTTTTGGTTAAACTTGAACTGCAGAGATTCTGAATTGATGGACGGCAGTGTATAAATACTTTCTGATCCTAAAAAAGTAAACAGAAATGGTCATTTTTAAATATTACAGCTCAGATAACTAATTTAATGTGCTGGAATGTCAGGAAGACTCAGGGATAGAGGAGGTAAAAATATGTAATTTTGGATTTAATCGTGTGTTAGTCCTATAGACAAATTGCAGCACTTATAAACTTGACATTACAATTTTTTTCTCAAAGTGGCTGGATTAATGTTTGCTTAAATAAGAATCACTTTTGCATATACTGCAGTTGAATTGTTCTCCTCTTCCGGAAATATCCGTATTAAAAAACAACTATTTTTAAGTCTTTGGAACTGAATCTCATTTAATGGGATCTTTTTCTTCCCATTGTATGTATTTCAGTTTTATTTTATTTTTTTCTTTCTTATTAATACCACAACCATGACGACTCTTGTAAAGCAACGGGAAAAAATCAATAACAAATATAATGGTCTTTCAGAGAAATTGCTGCAATAACTTTTGTTAGGGTGTGTGCTGGAAGGGAGGGAAAAGCATTAATAAAGATTTGATGACAAATCCTGCATGCACCAGGTCTGAATATTGTATTAATTTCAGAATATTCCTAAAATGTTGTAGAGATCCTTGATTTCTAATATGAAAACATGGGGATTCTACTGTCCACAGTACTGCAGTTTATTTTGCAAATGGTCAATACCTGAAACATACAATAAGGGTTAGAGTCAGGACTGGACCCAGGGAATTAATTAAAAAAAATGAAGGTACATATAATCTACACATTTTAGTTGCTTTCCTACATATATGTATTTAATTGTAACAAACAGCAATACTGAATTATGTCAATTTGGAATTTTTACTATTCCATCCTGATTTCTGTAATGAAAGAAGGGAAAAGACTGATAAAATAAAAAAAATATATGTTCCTAAGTCTTAAAAAAATATGAAAAGATCAGTTTTATTCCCATAGAGAATATTGAAAGCTATTAGATGTGGTTTCCAGAGGGAGTCTCAAAGGCATTTTTTTTTTCATCAAAAGGCAACTGGCCTGCTTTTTCCCTGAGGAAGAAGAACAAAACATTTCGTTTCTCATCCAAGAAGCTTCATCAGTTGTGATGGCGGGGGGAGGGGCGGGAGGAATGGAAAAATACTGACCAGGGGTGAAATGCTACCGTTTTGGACCAGTTTGCCCACACCAGTATTAATAAATGCTACCGGTTCAAGTGAACCGGTAGTAAAAAAAATGTTACTGGTTCGGGCGAACCAGTATTTCCAACAATCAGCTGTGCCATTCAATTTATATTCGCTAGAAAGCAGGAAATCCTGATTTCTAGCAAATCTAAATCACGTGGCACAGCTGTTCCCCCCCTCACTGTTTTACTTAACTTTGCAGACTCAGAAAAGACTTCTTGGTCCTCCTTTTTCAACGCTGCATAGTAGCACCTGCGGTAAGCCTGCACACAAAGCATGTATTTGGCGTGCACCACGCATGTGTGCACAAAGCAAACAGGTAGCGAAGCGAACCAGTAGCAGATTTCAAAGCATTTCACCCCTGGTTCTGACAGTTGAGATGGATGGTGGGGAGATGGAAGGATTTTTTTGCAGTCATCTAGTTGTTAGCACTCTCCTTGAAAGCTCTTGAGGCCACTTGAGGGTTTACCTTTGCCTTCAGGGTCACCTGAATCAGAGTGCAACTGGTTGTGAAATCTTCTTGGAACCACTGCAAGGGCTGCGTTGCAGACTAGAGATAGGTGGTGTCATATTCCTCCCCCTCTGTTGAGAGAAGGCTGCTCATAAATGGCCTGGCCTTCTTTCAAACCAATGATCCTCTCTCCAGAGGAAGGAATGGACTGAAGGCAGCATCACTCCAACACTTATGTGAGATCTCAAGTCCTCTCCCTGTCTGGAGAGGAATAACCAAAGAGCCCATTTTACCTGCTCGTCATGCCACAGCAATCATCAGCTCTGTTGACTGCTGATAGAATGAAGAGTTGATTGATTTGCTGTGGAATGAAGAGCAGAATTGGATCCACACATTTCACAGTGGGTGAGTTAGTAAGGGAATGTTTTAACAAGTTTTAAGAATTTTTTTTTAAAAAAAGTTTGTAATAGCAAAAGAGTGAGGGTTCATGTTTTGAAGAATCTTGCAAGAAAGGACAAAAAGAAAAAGAAAAATCAAGCTATTACATTAAGTGGCTGGATTAATGTTTGCTTAAATAAGAATCACTTTTGCATATACTGCAGTTGAATTGTTCTCCTCTTCCGGAAATTATCCGTATTAAAAAACAACTAGGAAGGAATGTTTTAACAAGTTTTAAGAACTTTTTTTTAAAAAAAAAGTTTTGTAATAGCAAAAGAGTGAGTTTCGTTCATGTTTTGAAGAATCTTGCAAGAAAGGACAAAAAGAAAAAGAAAAATCAAGCTATTACATTATTTGAATGGACTAAAGATTATGATGGTTAAACATAAAATAAAGGAATATATAGTTGATTTATCTGATTAAGGTTAAAATAGGTAAGTTATTATTTCTGGCAATAGTTAATAAACTTGCTGACAACGGAATTGAAATGACAATGCTTTATGGATTTGTTTACAGGTAAGATGGGATATGGGAAGAAGAAATTGTTGTATTTTAATTGGAAGTGATAAGTTACTAAAATTGTTTATACTTATGATGAAAGTGGGAAGTCACTTCTTTATATATATATTCTTTTTCTTTACTAAATTCCTAATTTGCTTTCTATTTCTTTTTTTCTTCTTTCCATCTTCTGCTCTTTATTCTTCTGTCTTTCATAGTCTTAACTTTTACTGTTGTAATTATAATCTTTAATAAAATTACTATATAGCACGCTAACAAGATACTTCTGTCAATAAAACATTTAGACCTAGATTTGGCTTGGTTCACACATTGTACTAAGCATGACTTGTTTGGCTTTCATTTTACATGTTGCACAAATCTCAAATAGTTATTTATAAATCAGGGTTTATGTCGTTATATATACATATAAGCTAGCCTACCATGATTTATTTAATTATTTTTTTAAAACCATGGCATGGGGTAATGTGACTGAAGATGAGTTTCACAAGTGCAGTAGTCCATTGGATTCAACTGAATTCTTGCTGGTTTTAGTAGATCTGCTCTCATTATGCTTGCTTAGATCCAAACCTTTAAACTTACACATGGAAAAATTAATGACCTACTGAAGTTATCTGTTTGTAAAATAATCAAGGAAGATTACCTTCTTCAATAAGATTTCATCTGCAAAAGGCAGCGGAATGTTGTTTTGTCTAGACTAGACTAAATTCAGAATAATTTTGAAATTCACAAAAAGCAGTCAGGGAAGCCCAAATACATATAATCTTTTTCAGTGCTGTTGGGATGTTGTCATGTTACTTGAAGTGACATGCACTGATTACGGTGAGAAAGTCTGTGTTAAATTTCAATAGGAAAATAACCTGGATCCCTATGCTTTCTTCTGAACGAATTCTCTCCGATGTTTAATAATTAACAATTCATTTTATCTCAGTTGACACACTTCACAGAGAATTGGAGCAAGCCCCTAGTATCTGTAGCTGTGTTTCAAAAGCACTAAACTGCATTATGCCACTGTATTATGCCATGTACGGATACACACAAAGATGTTCAATGGTAAGTGAGTATTGTTTATGTTTGCAAAACAAAATCAGGGTTGGAGAATAGTTGAATGAACACTTTTCATTCAAATTTGTCTGGATGGAACTCAGAACAATAGTAATCTTGTTCAAAATGATATCAGGATTCCAGCTCATGTTGAGCCATATTGTTACTTCGGGATTATTCTATATCCACGTTTAAAACAACCGGTGGCTTAGCAGGACCTGTACACCAGCTTCTTTTGTAAATCCTTACTTGTTTATATGAACAAATAATTGGTCTAAAAATGTTCAGGATCATTCAAGATGAATTTCATAAGCATCTTCTAAAGAGATGTCTGGGATCTGCTTGGAGCGCATTTTCCTAGCTGGGCAGTTTTGAGTAGCTCATGAGTGCTACAAAAATATTTCAGTTGACTTTTCCAGGTTAAGTGGCTGTAACATATAATGCAATGCAAAACAAAAGAGTTGCTTTGTGAAACGTGAAATCTGAGACAAGATCTCAGGATAGGATGTTGTCGAGTTATTTGTCAGTCAGCCCAGTAATATATTTAGTCTGGTCAGTTGTAGTTATGTAAAATCTGCAGCTGGGATCTTTCCTCATTACTAGCCACTTGATCCTTGTAGACAGGAGAGACCAGGGATAGAACTTTAGATCTTCCACAATACTTTTATGCGTGACTGCCATTGATGTTAACAATGTACTGAAGAGACACTACTTTTATGTTATTTATTTATTACATTTATATGCCACCCATCTCACTACCAAGACCAATTCTGGCTGGCTTATGAAGTGGAATAGACAAGCATTCTATAGAATTTGGAACAAATTTATTTATTTATTTATTGATTGATTGATTGATTGATTGATTGATTGATTGGTTCGATTTATATGCCGCCCTTCTCTGGAGACTCAGGGCGGCTTACAATGCATTAAGCAATAGCCTTCATACTTTTGTATATACCTAATTAGTAGGGCTTTCGCCCCCGCCCCCCCCAAGCAGTGTTCTTTTTTATACAAAGTCATCTTATTGCCCCCACAATCCGCGTCCTCATTTTACCTACCTCGGAAGGATGGAAGGCTGAGTCAACCTTGAGCCTGGTGAGATTTGAACTCGCAGTAATTGCAGGCAGTTGGCAGGTAAGTGCTACTTAACAGCACTTTCGTCCGCTGCGCCACCAAGGCTATTCTAAATAATTCTGGAACATGCTGAAGATAAAATTGGAAGCATTTCCAACTCTAGAATTGGTGATTTCTTTTAAATAGTTGGAACCCTAGTCATACATTTCAGTTTCTAATGTGTTTAGATTTTGCTTTTTTATTCTTCCATGGATTAGCATCCTGCAAATAAAAGAGCTATTTATTTAGCAAAATATTGAGGAGTCCTGAGGTATCCGAAGGATTGGCTTTTCCTATATGAACCGGTCAGAAAATCAAGGTATGGATCTGAGATTTTTAGTCAATTGTAGATATCATACCTAAACAAGGTAACCAACACTAGCTAGTTTAGAGAACTATGTGCAGCTACAGACTTTTTTTTTTTTTTTTGGCATATCTCTTTGTGTTTCCAATTGGAAGAGAGAAAGCCTGTTAAACCAAAGTTTCTGATTGTATATCAGAATGTATTTCCTACATTCAAGCAGATACACATACAGTCCCTGTGTAGAATTTCCCACTCGATGAGGGGAAGTTGGAGATTATAGACAAATATGAATAAGGTAAATTGATTCTTAGGGGTATTGTGGTACGCATTTGGGCAAATACAGGTGCCAGGTTTCTGTGGTTTTGCTCTTAGACTTTTCCAGACATTCTCATTATTATTATTTTTTAGCATTTGGTTAAGATTGATTTATTTACTTTGTCAAGTTTTAAATTTTATTTAGGAATAGCTTTTATTGGTTCAGCTTGATTTTGTCTTTATGCTATCTATCCCAATAAACTAATGCCCTTATTTGCAGCATTTACAACCTTAGTATATTTTATTCTTTAATTCTATTCTCTGGTTATTCATTTATTTTTGTCTGCTTTGAAAACACCATACCCTCGAAAAATCAGGCCAAAAAAATCTATCTGGCACCTAATCATAAACTGGATTTTAAGTGAAATCTTCAGCATGGTGCCCTCTGAAAAATATAATTTCTTTTCCTGTTCATCTCCCAACTGACATGGTTAACAAAGTTTAGCAAATCTGGGGATCATTAAGTTAGATAAGGATGCTCTCTGTGAAAGCATCTAGATATTTATTTATCCTCTTTTCTTATATTACCTGGATCTGATTAATCAGATTGCCTTTAAGATATTGCTTATAGATAAAGGTGAAGGTTCCCCTTGCACATATGTGCTAGTTGTTATATATTGCTTATAGGTGTCATTAAAAATGTGCAAGACAAGTAAAATCACAGAAGATCTTTTCTACTACCTACAACTTGGCTGAGAACCATTGGAAAGGATAATTGAGTGTAGGAAATGGTATGGTAATACAAGTTTAGTTTTATTCAAAGGTGAATCATCCTTGGCCTGTTGTAGAAGTTCTGCCACCTACTCTGCTGAAAAAATTGATATTTAGGATCTTCTGATTTAGATACAGAGCTAGAGTTTGTGGGATGTACAATTCCATTTTGATCTGTTCGTTTGCATTATTTTCATGGAGGAGGGGTGTCAAACTCACGGCGTCATGGCAGCATCACGTGATGTATTGGGATTTTTTTCCCCTTTGCTAAACAGGGCGTGGACGTAGCCGGCCCACGGGATGGGAGTGTGACAGCCCTGACATAGAGTTTCACCCATTGATGAAGGTAGCATGCTTGATATGAACTAAAACCTACATTCATCCAGATCTGCAATCATCAATAATTTAGTTTAAAGCTATACATGCAGTCAGTTTCCTTGACTTTCCATCTTGGGCAAAATTGTTGGGTGTTAGCTAGATGAATCAGCTGTATGTTTATTTTTGTGGAACTGTGTCTTGGACCGTGCTATCTGACATGTGTGAGCAGGTTCTAAAGACACCTGAAGCTTCTTTCTATGATCCTCACAGGGTTTTTTGGTTTTAATTTTCTCAGACAGCATCTTATCCTTGCAATATTGAACAATTAGTTGAAGTTTTAAAGGAATAAGTTGTAGATAAGTTGCCAGTTGTAGAAATAAAAACCTCACCTATTAGTAGGCTGTTGATCCAATAGCATCCTTTTGGCATGTAGAAAGTCCCAGGTTTCATCCATGATGTTTCCAAGTGGATTAGGCAGAATTCCTGGAATTCTGGAGAGAGCCACTGCTGCTACATGGCAAAAATTATGGCCTAGATTACTTAGAATCTGACTGTATAAGGTAGCTTTTTCTGGTCCTCAATATGAAAACCTTCAAGTGAGGTTTATCAGCATTTTGCACCTGAGTCACATTCTGGCAAAAACAGATGGATATTTATAATTCTTCTCTATCCATCACTTTTTGCTGTAATTTCATTGAGAAAACAGAGACATATATATTTTATTCCCTGTGATTACAGACAGATCCCCTCAAAGTGAAAGAAGTTGCAGCAAGGTAGTGGAATTAAGAAGTGCCTTCTGTTTTTCCATTAAAATCATCCTCCCTTCTGTTTTTATGTAGAAAAAAAAACTGTTGGAAGTTCCATGAAAAACACAGATTTCAAATGTCAGCTTTGTTCTGGATTAAAAAAAAATCTTTAATTGAAAAGTGTATTGGGGTTCTTTCTAAACCATATGATCAAAGCATGTGCACACTCCTAGCTGTAGAACTTATTACCTTTGTTTGTTATAACAAATCTTAGATAGTCTAAACAGCTAGGGGATTCTCAGGCACAAAACTATCTTTAGATGTTTTGGATAATTGATTTTTTTTGCCAGTTAGCTTAAGCAAAGAATTTTCTCTTTTCTTTCTGTTTCAGCGTTGTCTGCAGGCCAAATTAGCCCCATCTCTACTGATCATGGTCAACAGGAGATTAAACTATTGGGATTCTGATTTTGAGGATGAGATCATCAATATCAATGTTGGGGGCTTGAGAAGGAGACTCAGTTCTAGTGCCCTCTCCAAATTTCCTGACACTCGGCTTGGACGCTTGCTTTCCTGTGATTCTGAAGAGTCCATCCTACAGCTGTGTGATGATTATGATGTGAGTGCCAGGGAATTCTACTTTGATCGGAATCCTGGCTTCTTCCTATACGTGCTCCATTTTTACCAGACTGGCAAACTACATGTTATGGAGGAACTATGTGTCTTCTCCTTTTGCCAAGAGATAGAATACTGGGGCATTAATGAATTCTTTCTGGATTCCTGCTGCAGCTATCGCTATCATGAAAGGAAACTGGAGAGACATCATCACAACTGGGATGAGGAAAGTGAAGTTAGCAGTGTGGATACATCCCCAGATGAGATCTTAGATTTCAATCATGACCTGCTTCGCTACAGTACACTCCGCTGTGGCAATCTGCGCAAGCGCCTTTGGCTCACCATGGAAAATCCAGGATACTCCATCCCAAGCAAACTCTTCAGCTTTCTGTCTATCAGTGTTGTGCTGGTTTCCATAGCTACCATGTGTATTCACAGCATGCCCGAGTACCAGCAGCTTGACGAGGAGGGCAAGTTGAAGGATGACTCTGTGTTGCAAAACTTGGAGTATTTCTGCATCTCCTGGTTCACATTTGAAGTTACTGCCCGCTTGCTTTTGGCTCCAAACTTGAGGAAATTTTTCAAGCATCCCCTCAATCTGATTGACATTATCTCAGTGTTGCCTTTCTATTTCACCCTCTGGGTAGATGTGACCACGAAGACAGATTCAGAACTGGGAAATTTGGGTAAGGTGGTGCAAGTGTTTCGTCTTATGAGAATATTCCGAGTGCTGAAGCTGGCAAGGCATTCAACAGGCCTGAGGTCTTTAGGAGCTACCTTGAAGGTAAATGAGCTTTAGCTCATTTATTTTTATTTCATATTTCTAAGGAAAAAAATAATCAAAAGAGTAGTCAAAAGCACCTTTGTCCTGTTTCAATCTTACATTTGTATCTGTCTTCAACCTGGTGAAATTACTCATGCTTTTGAACTTTTTAAAGCTCAATTACAATGATGGATTATTGTGTGATTATGTCTCATCAAATCATGTTGACTCTTAGTGACCACATATTCTCCATGATTGATCTGGCCCTCACCTGGTCTTTGAGGTCTTCCAATGCTCCAGCCATGGCCACTCTGAGTCTACCCACCTTGTTGCTGATCATCCTCTTCTTTTTCTTTTCACTTTTCCCAGAATTAACTTGACTTTTGCTAATTTTCCAAAGTATAATAATTTGAGCCTGGTCCTTTGTGCGTTCAGTGAGAACTCTGGATTGATTGTTTTGATGATTCATTTGTTTGTTTTCTTAGCTGTCCACAATATTCCCGGGAGCCTTTTTCAACATCAAAGTTCAATAGCATCAATACTCCTTCTATCCAGCTTCTTCAAAATCCAATTCTTTCCCTTCCATAGAGTGCCACAGGGAATATCATTGCCTGCCTTATTCTGATCTTTGTAGATATAGACTTATCACATCACCTGAGTATCTTTTTCAAGGGCTTCATAGTTGCTCTGCTACTATGTAGTATACTAATACTACATAGTATTAGTAGTATACTAATATACTACTAATAGTATATTTTCTGATGGCTAATTCCTTTACTGTTGATAGTTGATCCTAAAAGTTGTCTAACTCTTCAGTATCTTCATTATCAGTTCGAAAACTGGTTGTAGTACCAGGTAATTTTCTTCATATATATTGTTAACCATATTTTTCAGTTTGCTTTTTGACTTTTATTGCTAGACTTCGTAGATCCTTTGGACTTTCAGCTTTTACTGTCATTAGCATAGCACAAGTTATTGAAGTTACTCCTCTTCTTTCAATCCATCTTCCCTTAATATATACCATACAGATTGAATAAAATGGATAAAGTATACAGCCCTGTTCCACTCCTTTGTCACCTTGAAGCCAGTCTGTTTTGCCATGTGTTGTCTATACTGTGGCTTCCTGACTTCTATGTAGGTTTCTCATGAGCACAATAAGATTTCCTGAGATTCTCATTTTTCTAAGCACATGGTAATGGCTTTCTCAATTACAATATACAGCATGAATCAGCAATAATGTCTCATCTTCGTTGGCTTTTTCTAAATCCAGCTCAAATGCTCGGTTTCTCTTTTTCCATGTAGGGCTCTAATCTGTGTTGGATGATCCGGAGCATTACTTTTCTAGCACATGAAATTATAGGTATTGTATGATAATTTACATACTCTGTTAAGTCTCTTCTTTACTATTGGTATTTAGATTGACCTTTTCCAATCAGTTTGCTGCTATGTCATTCTCCAAATTTGCTGGTAGTTACTGGCAAATTATCATGCAGAGTTATAAAGCCCAAATGAGTTGGAAATCCAATATTTCTTGCCAAACAGAAAAAACTATCTTCTGTTTCCATCTTGTAAACCTTGTTCCTATCAATAATTCCCACCTATTCTCAACATCTACATTTCCTTCAGTTTTGTTTATATCTATCTAGCATCATCTTCACTGCAACACTTCCCAAAACAGAATGGAATGCAATAGGATAGGATAGGATAGGATAGGATAGGATAGGATAGGATAGGATAGGACAGGACAGGACAGGACAGGACAGGACAGGACAGGACAGGACAGGACAGGACAGGATAGGAATCTGTAGAATTATATCTGTCCTTGCCTCTATATATGGAATTAATGTGAAATATTCCTGTATTCTGTTTGGCCTCCAAAAGGTTTCTTTGTTTGATTTATGTAATGGCAAAATTAATCTCTTGGCATGGAGTGTGGGTTAACATGGCCTGTTTTAAATGCAGTATTTATACATATTAAGCTCCTATACCCTGCAGAATTCAGTGAGAGGTTTCTATTGTGGTCCTCTGCAGTTGGCTGTGTTTATATTCATGCTTTTGCTTCCTTACCATAAAAAAAGAAGATTTGGAGGAGGAAAGCAGACAGCATTGAAAAAACCTTGAACTTTCCATCTTGATTCCTAAAACTTACGTTATTTGTTCAGCTTGGTTGATTGTAGCTCCTTTATTTATGGGCTTGCTGCCAGGCAGCCTAAGGCTAACCTACAAGAGCACCATCTGGCACCAGGAGTTTCAGGGCCAGCTGATGTGTGCACGTGACTGGTTGTCAGAACAGGTGACTGAGAAGGGTGATCTCCTATGGCACACATCAGATTTAAGGGACTGAAATTTGTTTTGCTGTCTTTATTTTTATGCTTTGCTTGTAATGTTCAGTAAGTCTAGAAAAGGCATAGCTGCTTCAAAGAACACTAATGAATTCTGAGAGAGGCTCTAGCTAGTATAGAATCCAGATATGTGTAGAAGGCTAATACGCTGGCATTCCAGAAAGTCCCAAGGGATTGCTGTAGTCTGGGGCTATAACAACTGGAAAGAATAGCTGAAGATAGTAACTATGAATGTCTTCCTTCTGACTTCAACGCCACAAGCTCTCTCTTAGCCTCTGAGATGCCTCCAAACTTGATGAAGGAAAAAAAATCGGTTTATGCTACTTCACATTTATGTTCACTTTGTGCAATTTGTTGAACAATGCCTGCTAAATATTCTCCTTTATGTAGTCTCTTGATAACCTGAACTGCCATTTCTTTCACTCAATTATATACCTGAAATTCATTCTTTTCTTTCCTTCCTTCTTTCTTTCTTTCTTTCTTTCTTTCTTTCTTTCTTTCTTTCTTTCTTTCTTTTCCTTCTTTTTTTCTTTCTTTCTTTCTTTTTCTTTCTTTCTTTCTACCTTTCTTCTTTCTACCTTTCTACTTTCTTTCTCTTTCTCTCTTCTCTCTCTCTTTCTTTCTACTTATTAAATTTTTTACATACAGTAAAAGTCAAATCTAAAGAAAAAAAATAAAAGAGGGAAAAGAAGGAAGGAAAAAGGTGCCAGAAAAGAAAAAAGAAAAGAAAACCAGTGTACAAAATGTAATGGCTTCTGATCTTCTCTTCAACAGAGGATTACAGTCTTATAATTCTCCCTCTCCCTTGAATGTTATACAAATGCCTTGAACTTCCAACTTGTCCACATCTTTTTAATCCTCAAACCCATAAATCATCATAACATTTTTTTTCTTCTTTCAACAAAAAGTCCTTGTAAGGTTTCAGGTCCTTCAGAAAAGTTATTGTTTGTTTGTTTCTTTGTTTGTTTAATGTATATGTTTCTTGTTATTTTTCTCTCTCACCATATATACCTGCAGTTCTGATTGCCTTCCTACCCAAGAAGCTTAGTGGAACACCATTTTCAAAATGCATCCACAGAATATAGAAGCAGGACGTGAAACAGCAAGCAGCATACACTGCTTCCCCTTTAAATGCTAGTTGGACCCCAACCCCATGTGGGAGGGGAAGCCAATCTTTCCTTCTCTAGGGCAGAGTTCCCCAAACTTTTCGACTTTGTGGACTGGTGGGGGGCGGGAAGGGGATGGTTCCATGCGAGTGGCGAGCACACCCATACTCGTAGCTCCATTTGCACGAAGGCAGACATGCATGTCAGCCACTTGTGCAAATGGAGTGTGCGCACACACGTGCGCTCGCCTGCTGTTCATGAAGTGGGGATGTCCACAGGCACTCTTGCCCACCGCTTCCGTGACCTGGACTCAAGGTCCAGAGATGGGCTGCAACTTGGAGGCTGGGAACCCCTGCTCTAGGGACCTTAGAATTACAGTGTCACGAACCGTTGTAAACTAGAAATGTTCATTGCTGTTCTTGAAGGCGGGGGTAGTCAGGTCTAACTTTACCAACTCACTTCCCCCAGTGAAGAGGCTGTTAAATTTTATTAAACTAACTTTTTTCAATAGTTGGTTTTCATCACACAACCAGATGGAATCAACATCCCCAAGCCTAATGTCTGTTTGATAGACTATGTAGAGCGTGATATGAATGGGAAAAGGAGCAGATGGGAAGCCATGCCACTTCGTGTTTAAATCATGCATGATCCGTATATGTTCATGGAAAGTGATTAGTGTTTCTGCTTCATTTGATTTGGAGGTGAGGCCTTTAATAGTATGGAAATTTGAGTGTCTTTCCCTATCAGTCTGCTTCTCAGCCATTATCCTCATTCATCAGTTAACGAAACTGCCTAGATGAGAGAAAGAACATCTTTTAATCTTTTTTTAAAAATTGCAATAAACTGCAACACTGAAAATGTATGTTCTCTCCTTCTTTAATCCTGGTTTTGAATAGAAAATGAAGTTTTCTCCCACTCAAGTCAGTAAGAAGGATGGGTCTCCCTTGATTCTATTTATTTACAAGAGCTGTAAGCTGCTTTACATGTCTTGAAGTAAGAAAGCAGAACAAAATACTTTAAATGACTGTGCATCTCACACCAAACACACCATGTACGCAGTAATCTGGGTGAATACCAGTTTGTGATTGGGATAAGAAAGCCCTTAAATCAAACTCAGCTCCTGTGAACATATCTGTACATTTTTCATGCAGGATTATGGAAGTGATTTGCCATTGCTTATTTTTTTAATTGGATTTCTCAGTCTGACAGCCCTGGTATTCCCAGTTGTTCCCCTATCCAGTCCTTCAGGAACTAGACAAGATCGTTTAGGAGCTGACAAGGGTTGTGCAAAATTTATGGGACAACTTCCTACATATAACTAAAACAAAATGAAATACATGTCATGATAGTTTAAACGAGCCTTGATAGTACAGTGGTTTAGTGCACCCTGTCATTAACACAGCTGCCTGCAATTTCTGCTTGTTCGAATCTAAGGCTCAAGGTTGACTCAGCTTCCATCCTTTCTAAGGTAGGTTGAGGACCCAGTTCAATAAGCACTTTGTATAAAATATACAAAAGAATGAACTATTGCTTAACGCATTGTAAGCCGCCTGATTCAGAAGGGCTAAATCAA